CATCCTGGAAAGACGGGAAGAGAGACACACAGAGCCTGTTTACGTCTTCGGATATGACAAGAGGCTCTCTCCAGGGGCACTAAGTGACAGAGGTGTCTGCTTTGATCGCCTAAGGGAAGCTTAATGGTGCTTACCAACTTTATAATCTACCGACTGTAAAAACCACAGGGTGATATGTGTTCTCAAGTCAGCGCAGATCAAAGAATGACTGTCCCCAATGTAAGGAGTGAGCGATAACACAGTTCTTCACTGACTGTTTTTAAATGCCAAGTTCTTTGTGTCTCAAACATATGAGAAATGTTCATATCTCTCTTTGGTTTCTTTATTTTACTTTGAGACGGAATCAAACTGTGTAGCTAAGATTGGCCTGGAACTTGCTGGACTGGCCTCAAACTTACAATGATCCTCCAGCCTTCGCCGCCCATGTACACCCAAGATTGTAGATAAAACCCACCAGAAAGATCTGTTTTTAATTTTATTGCTTAATTAAATTAATTACTTTATTTGAGACACGGTCTCATGTGCCCTGTGCTGGCCTCAAACTCATTATGTAGCTAAGAATAACCTTCAGTTTCTGGCCCTCTTGCTTCTGCCTCCTAAGTGCTAGGATTTCAGTAATGGACCGTGACTCCCAGTTTTCTGCAGAGCCAGGTATCAAACCCAGAGTTTTGCGCATCTTAGTCTAGTACTCTACCAACTGACATGCATCCTCAGCCCTTAATAGATGTATCCCAAGGTCAGAAAGAAACATTTGGATAAAACATACTGTCCCATTGTTGACCTTGATTTGTTGTTTGACTCTGAATTGTTTACAAATGTGGTTTTCTTATTGTATTTGTTTGTTTGTTTAAGACAGGGCCTCACTATATTCTCCATTGGCCTGGAACTCGCTGTGGAGACCAGACTCATAGGATCCATCTGCCTCTGCCTCCTGACTATTGGGATTAATGGCAAGAACCACCACACCCAGCCTTAATTGTTTTAAATATTTTGTAGTTCATGAGATGAAATCCAGGACATAATAGTTGCCCAGAAAGTGCTTTGCCACTGAGCCAAATCTCATCCTGAATTCTTTATTATAACACAGATTTAAAGTGAACAAAAGTACATGAAAATACTTTGAATTATTTATATAATAATAGAAAACTATAATATGGGATATTATGGTTGTGGTGGACATAATACTGTAGTAAAGTTCACTATTTGCCCTGACTTCATAAGAAATTATAATTAAAACAGCTCCATAATGACTCATGGACAAGTCAATCCTCTCTGTGTAGTAACAGCAGAATTATCAGTTCTATGACTTGCCACATTCTCCAGTGAACTGGGACCTGATAAAACTCCAAGAGAAACGGTTGGATTAGATTGCTTGATGCCTCTACTTTGAGGATAAGAAGAAGAACTGGCTTCCCCTAGTACATACACAGGATGCTTGACATATGGAGAACCATGTGAGAATGAAGACCATGCTCAGCAATCAGAGCGTCAGCATCAAAGCATGACATCGCTCAGAAGGGCCACATGCTTGTTGTCATGGGTGGAGAGGACCTTCCAGAAGGACGTTAGTCATACGAATGTAGAACTCAGGCTTCTTGGAGAGGGGAAGCAGAGGCTCTGGGTTGTCAGATGGTAGAAATAGAAAGGTTGCTATTCACGGTATCTGTAGTCACATAGAATATCAAGGGCGTTCCCTGAGTTTCCCTTACAAGGTAGCTGTCTAAGTCAGTGTTCTGCTGCTGTGAAGAGATGCCATGACCACCACAGCAACTCTTATAAAAGAAAGCAGACATGGGTTCTTTGCCAGACGGCAACATGAATACTCTCCAGTGTGATTCCAAATGGAAACCTTGTCCCCTCTAGAACCTCAGCCTTCACTGTCCACATTTGTCTCGGTCATCAGAGGGACTAGAAGTCACACAGACTCACCTGGAGGCAGACACATGGGGAAAGAAGCTATGACGAGGTAATCGGGAAGGTGAACTTCTAAGATGACTGACTCCTCCTTACTTGCATGGCCTGAAACAGAGCCTGGCAGCTTAGGACAAAGGTTTCAGACCTTTCCTCTGCCAGTCCAGCTCCCTGCTGGTGGACCTGCTCGCCAAGGTCAAGGCCAGGTCAGACAGCCATTCTGTCTGTTTTCAAACTGACTACCCATAACTTACCGGAGGAAGACCCTCCACAGACTTACAAATCCTTCAGACTTCAAGGCCTGGATGGGCTTCAGCTTCTCCAGTACCCGCTCTGTGAAGGATCTTTCTCCATGTACCTGTTGTATGTACCTCGCCTCACCCAAGCCTTCCTTTGCCAACTGGTTCTGCTGCTATGTCTGAGATTGTCCCTGCTGCTACCTGTCACACTGCAGATCTTTTCCTGCCTTTTAATTCTTTAACTGGCAGAGCAAATGAACTCCATTACGACCCTAGACAGTAAAAATTCCAGTAACGCAAACTTGTACCACGTGGTCCACCAAGCTCTGCTCACAGTGTTTGTGCTCTTCTCTAGTTCACGGTTCTCCTGAAACATTGTCCTAGCGACAGTGACCAACCCTGCTACCGATTTCTGTACTAGTTACTTTCCTATTACTGTGACCAAATACCTGACCAAATGATACTTGCTTTGAATCAAGGCTTGAAGGGATACAGTTTCTGACGGCAGGTGGGTCAGTTGCAGTGTGACAGGAAATAAAGAGATGAATCAGGAGTGATAATGGAGTACAATGTTCAAGGTCTGCCCCTCAGTGCCTTCCGTTAACTTCCTTCAGTTAGAGCCTGCCCCAAGAGTCCACAAATTCCCAGGACAATGCTACCAGCTAGAGACCAAGAGCACATGAAGACATTTGATATCCAAACTGCAACAGTTAGAATCAAAGATGATTCAACATAAGGGGATCAATAAGTATGAAAAATAGTTTAAATCATATGATTGTCTTAGTATGTATAGAAAAAGTATGTAATAAAACTCAACATTCTTTATGATGAAAACTCTCAACCAAGTAATTACTATAGAGGCTTAGATGACAGATATTGAAGAGAACTCAGAAGCGGAAAGATAGGCAGATTGCTCTCACACGCCTATAAAGAGGAAACTGTCAGTCAGTGGAAGAGGCAGCCTGCAGAAGCAAGGAAATTTTTGCTGACTTTCTGTGTGACAGAACACACATTGTGTCCCGGAAAGAGCTTCATGGCAGGGTGGAACAATTTGCCTCTTTTTAGAACATTCTCTGTCTTAATGATGGACAGTTTTACTTTAGAGAAAATTGTTAATCAAAAATACCAAGTTGTAAAGCAAGATAAGGATATGCCCACTGGTGAAATAGTGCCATGATTGCAGGGGACAGGGAGGGGAGACCAACCACTTTCTTATTGGATGTGAGGCTCACAAGGGAATGTCTGTTAGCAATGAGATGTGTAACCTGCTGCCTTCTACCCAGAGAACAGCATCTGCCCTGTACACTTGTTTATCCCTGGAGACTAGTGCCTGCCCTATACCTTAGATGGAGAGCCTTCTTTCTACAGACAGTGGCCCATAGCTGGTCAGAGTGTAGAGAATGACCGACGACTGAGTGCTTAACTGTACATAGGACGTCTTTATAGTCGCCTCCCAGGCCCAGGGAATATGAAATATGGGGCTGGAAGACTGTAGAAGTCAGAGAACGGAGAAGAATTATCTTCCGGAAGTTTTATTTTCTGTATATGACATGGCTGTTGCATTCACGAACACACAGCTGCTATGGTTTCCTGCATAAGACCTGTACTAGATTGGGCCCTTTCTTATTTCATCATGGATGGGGAGGGACTTCTTTAGTGCTATCGCTAGCTATTGGCAAATAGCCCATGCTCACATAGGCCACTCGGATTCAACTCAGTGAGGCACATACACAGGACATGAATATAGGAGGGGCACCAGTTGGTATGAAAAAGGAGGTCAGCAGGAATGGAAGTCTGGTGGTTTAAGTTTGAATAGGTAGTCTCCAGTTGGTAGGACTGTTTGGGAAGGGTTAGGAGATGTGGCCTTGTGGAAGAAGTGTGTCACTGGCTTGACTAATAAAAAACCTCATGCTATTCCCAGCTAACTAACTCACTCATGGTCTCTCTCTCTCTCTCTCTCTCTCTCTCTCTCTCTCTCTCTCTCTCTGTGTGTGTGTGTGTGCCTCATTTGTAGGTGAGATGTAGGCTCTCACCTATACTTGCCTGTCTGCCGCCATGCTCCCAGTGATGACCGTCATGGACTAATCTTCTGAAACTATAAGCCTCAACAAACTTTCTCTCTGAGTTGCCTTGGCCATGGTGTCTCTTCACAGCAATAGGAAACTAACTAAGGGGATAGAAGAGAGCTATGGGGGTAAATATGATCCAAATACATTGTGTGCGTATAAAAAGGTGTCAAAGGCTAGAGTAATTCAATATTTGGAGAGATATTACTAATGGAAGTTGGAGCATAATGCTTATGAAATCTGACTCGTTTTCATGCATTCTTATCCTTGTTTGTTTTGTGTCTCATAACAAAATAACACAGGGGGCGCCAGTGAGATGACTCGGCAACTTAAGGTGGTTGTCATCATGACTGGTGGACCCATGTGCTGGATGCAGAGAACCAACCCCAACAAGTTTTCTTCTGACCTCCACACGTACACTCTGTTTGTGCACACACTATCTCTAAATAAATAAATACATGTACATTTCAAAATGACAAAAATAAGGTTTAAGAAAATAATTTAATAATTTATAAGGACCGAAATATGTTTTCACAATTCTGAGAGTTGGGAAGTCTTATGTCTCGTCTCCAACATCTTCAAGGGGTAAGGATATGAGCAGAGCACATGCTGCCTTTCACTGCTCTGGGGACAGGAAAGGTGGGAGGTGGATGACGGAATGACTGAAATTGCCATTCCCACCTTTGATTAACAGCATCAGCATCTAAATACTCCCAAATGTGGCCGCTTAGAGAAACCTAGAATGTCGGGGGAAGACACGTTTCTTGTAGAGGATGCTTTCCTGCTACTTGGCCACCAAAATATTAACTACATTGTTAGGAATAAATTCTTCGCTGTCACTGTCCCATTGACAAGTGACAACTGCATAACCTGTCACGAAGTTGCTTTCGTACAAGCATTCTGGTATCTTCTCGCCCGCTACTAGAGTACACTGTATTCCTTTCACCAACTCCATGCTTCTTCTGCAGAACGTAGCCCTATGCTTACACCTCACTCGTTTGCCATAGCAGGTCTTTTGTAGATAGGAATAGCTCTCGGCTACAAAATAGTGCTCCGGATAACAGACTCGCCTGTAGTGAATGTTTCTAGACATGAGTTCAGAATTGCAGTAATTATCACCATAGAGCGGTCGATCAGGATCAGCAAGGATCTTTTCCTTGATTCTTTCTTTGGTGGGAGGTTTGGTAGGCCCTGTACTATAAAGCTCCCGTAAGCGGTCCCTTACTTCTGGATCTATTTCATATTCATATGAATCCCAATAGTCCCCTTGCAGTTTCAAAGGCAGCAGCAGCAGCAGCAGAGACAAAGGCCATGGGTACTTGGTGACCAGAGACTTCATTCTTTTCCTGTAGAGTCCAAACAGTGAAAAGAGGCATTGTATTATGATGAAATGCTCATATTTAAACACAGGGGCCACTGGTATCAACTTCCACTGTTCTCTGCACCCACTGGAAAATTGTTAGACTTGAGATTTCAGAATTTATTTGAATATCTCCCTAATATTGACTCTAAAATAACTATATTAGTATTGAGGATGGTAGATAAGAGAGGGGTGTGAACAGAAGAGAAGCAGAGAGGGAAGAAGTGAGGGGAGATGGAAGGAAGTGAAGGTAGGGTAAAGGAAAGCAATGGAAGGATAGAAGGATTGCAGGAGACCACACCCACAGTGAGGGGAGGGACAGGCACGGCAGCTCCTTTTGTCCAGAACAAACCCCTTTTACTTATTCCCAGAAATTGGTAATGTGCACAGAAATGGACCAACTTCCCCTCATTGATCCACCTTAGGGCTTTCATCCTGATCTTGCTTGCATCTGGCCACTGCAGATGCACATGAGACAGGACCTGTACCACCTAGACCTCCACAGCAGTGTCACTAACAGCTCTGTCCCTTTCCAGCCTTCCACCCAGCCCGCTGCCGACTACTTCCATGTGAAGCTCTTTACAAGTCTAAGAGCAAATGTCTTTGCATATCAATTCAATACTAAGTCAACGGCACAGAATACAAGATAATTTTAAAAGAAAATGTTGTGTCCATATTAGTCTATGCTTTAGTCCAGAGAATCGTCTTTTGTAGAGAACTTCTGGGCCCATTTGTCTTGTTTATCTGTATCCCGAATCTCACTGTTTCTTCTTAATTTTCCAAGATCTTTGTCTCAGTGGAAAGCAATGATCTTATCTGTCCTCGGAGGAGGCTTCAGAGCCTCGGCTCTGTGCCTGTGGCCTCCTTTCCTCCGTGTACCCTGTGGTCTCAGTTCTTCAGAGAATGGGTTTGTCATTCTGAGTTAGGAAGAGAGAATGAATCTGCACATCTCAGAAAAGCATTGTTGAAACTAATTTAAATCTTAAAGGTAACACAGATAAGAGCGTAAGAAGCTCTATGCCATAGGCTATGCCAAAGATTTTTTATGTTACCAACATCGGAACAACCAAAGGAGAGAAACTCTGTTTACTTTGTGTTGTCTTTGGCATCTTCCCATGCCCCCAATGGTAACTGTCATAACCCAGAAATTTTGGCCCATGTAGAAGGGAAATGGGACGACACTTATGGCTAATTCCAGGTTTAGATACTGACCTTATGAATTAAGAAAGAACAATATATATAGGCACCCCTCTCTTTATATATGTGTGTGTGCCTGCATGTGTGTTGAGTGTGTGTGTGTGTGCGTGCGTGTGCATGTGTGTGGATATAGATGTAGATATAGATAGAAGGTCACACAGTTGAAGCTGGGGTCACACAGTGGGAAATGGAGAGAACAGGAGTTGAGCATAAAAGTACAGAGGAAAAAGGTCATTCCAAACTGGTGACACTGAGCGGTCATTCGTGCCATGTAAACATGTTTCTAACTGGTGACACTGAGCGGCCATTCGTGCTGTGTAAACATGTTTCTAACCCATCCCTCCATAATTTTCACACTGACATCAGTACCAGTGTGATGGCTGAAGAGCTCAGCTCACAACACCGTGGTGGGAACACGGAGTCTCTGAGGCCTCTTGAGCCAGAGTGAGCAAAGTCAACAACACACATGGCCAGTGGTCTGAAGCTCTTGGAGCCTCTCCTGTCATCTACTGAGAACTCACCAAGAAATGGTTTACAAGATATAAGTATATATGGCTATATATTACAATGTGAGAATGTGATATATTAAGCAATCATGAGTTTTTGATCAAGAAGAAAATGTTACAATACTTTTAAGGAAAAAAAAAAGAAACAGCAGAAGACAAAAGGGCTAAAGGTCATAAGGCTTTTGTAGAAACAATTTCAATACCAGACTTCTGAATGGATGGTTTAACAAGGCCGGGTTACAATAACACATTTGGGAAACAGCCATTGATATAAGCAAAAAATTTTTGAAATTTGAAAGTCTTCTAGTGTGGGAAAGATTAAACCGAGACTAATACATTCAAAATGGTAACAATTACCCACGCCAGTAACAATAATTACGAGTAGCTATTATTTAGACAGTATTTTATATTCATGGAGTTATGTTTTCTTTGGCTAGATGGCTTTCCAGTCTTCATACATACCCTAAGCTATGGCAATTAGAGACAGGTAGTAAAGAATTCTGGGCTCATACAGCATAGTGCTGGAGTGTCTAGAGATAGGGAGAGAAATCAGCACATCTTAAACAGCACAGGGGTTGTATTGACTCACAGAAGGGGGCTGTCCAGCAGGCACAGCAGGAGGAAGCTAAACTCTTCCTCAGACTCTTGCCACCCCGTCCACTCCACGTCTTCGTAGACCAGATTTGCTCCTGTGTGGGTGCTCTGTGGAATGGCAGTACCAGGCACGGTCACTTTTGTGCCCTATTATAGGGTTGCCCTGTTCCCATTGTGGGGTCCTCCCCCACCTTCTTCCATCAAGGAAAATGACTCTTCTGATTGGCCTTCGTTTTCTCACTCAAGAAAATCAGAGATGTGGGGACTTCTGATTGGTCATCCAGAAACACATGCTTTTCTTGGAGCAAAACCATGTGATTAAAAGAACTCTGCCTCATAATCTTTAATTATTATCATATTTTAACTGTGTCTGCTGCGAGGTGTGGGTGCACCTGTGCGCCCGCAGAGGTCAGAGGACACAGTGTGGGAGGTCATCCTCTCTCTGCATTACTTAGGTTTCAGGAACTGAACTGAGGTGCTCTGGCTTGGCAGCAAGTGCACTCACCCACTGAGCGGCCTTGCCAGGCCTCCCTCTCCAGCCCTCCCTCACCATCCTAACTAATAAAAACGTAGATTACATAGGAGAAAAGAAAAAGCAATCTTAGTAAAGTGTGGTTAATGAGTATTTTTTTTCTTACTAATAAAATAATTTTTTTATTTTAGTTTCTTTTGTTGTTGATTTGTTTTTTGCTTTTCAACAGAATTTCTCTGTGTAGCCCTGGCTGTCCAGGAACTCACTCTGTAGACCAGGTTGGCTTCAAACTCAGAGATTTGCCTGCCTCTGCCTCCCAAGGGCTAGGACTAGAGGTATGCACCTCTTGATAATCTCTCTCTCTTTTTTAAAAAGATTTATTTATTTATTATGTATACAGTATTGTGTCTGCCTGCAGGCCACCATGTGGTTGATGGGAACTGAACTCAGGGCCTTTGGAAGAGCAGGCAATGCTCTTAACTGCTTGAGCCATCTCTCCAGCCCCTCTTGATAATTTCTAAATCTTAGTTTTACAACTATAAATTTTGCAACTTAAAAAGACTTTAATAGTACAAAACACTTTCAAAGTCCCAAGTATTCCTGATGAGATTTGATGAGGAAATCCCAGGTGTTTTCAAAAACATTTTGAGGCACTGTTTCAGGGTTTCCTGTCTTGGACATTTGCCTCTTAACCTAAGTGAGGGATGCACGGAGTCAGGAATCTGGACAGACGCCAGCGTGGACCACGAGGTCAAATGCATCGCATTGCTTACGTGAGTCAGCGTTTCCTCCTCCGAGGTGAACACCCGGTGCTGGAACCGGCAGCAGCACACAGAATAGCCCATAAGACACAGAAAAACAAAGCAAAACTCTCCTTGATTGAAATCAACTTTCCAAACACAAATGCAGAGTCATTTTCATATCTTATTTTGGAAAAATAAAATCACTCCAACAGAAGACAGAAATCTCTTCACAAGTGATGGAAGTTTTCTGCAAATTAATTTTTACTAATGATTTTGTTAGCTTTTTAAAGTATAAGGTTATATAAGATTTTAAAAGATCGTTGTAAATAGAAATCTGCTACATTTTTCCTGTGAGTTAATGTGTTCCTAGACAATATAGACTTATTTATTCAACTCCTACTTATGTTTTACTTAATATTTTTATTCCCCTCTGAAGCCAGAGATGGAATAAAGATGAAATACATAATGTATAAGGTTAAAGTTTCTGACAAATTTTGTTTTGTAGAGGATTAATGAATATGGTTAAATAATGGATATATCAAGGAAAATACTATAGACCTCCATACCTTACACAACACATATACATCTCATGCAGACACAGATATGCTCACATGCATGAATCAACTCACACTACACACACAAATACATGCATGCACATACCACAAAACACATCCATCCACGCACAACCATATGCACACACATGCATGCACACACTGTACACGTACACACACAAGTGCATGCACACATCACACACACTCGAACTCATGTTGAAGGTGTTGGAATCTGAGTAAGGCTGCACTCTGCCTAACAGTATTTGATTCTGTATTGAAGTGATGTAAAATGTTCCGTTGAGGGGAGGACAGAGGATGAAAAACAGGACTGTGGTATAAGTTATCACTTCCTATGATTTATCATTATTGTAAGGGTGAAGGGTTTTAAAAACAGGTCAGCAGACCTTTCCATTGACACGGGAAGAACATCAGGACTTCTTTTGGAAAATAACTCTCAGAATCAAATGTATAATGTGATCTCATTTATATTTAAAGTTTTATGCACACATATACACACATACATGTGAATGTATTAGTCTGGGTCAGGTAGGTATGCTGATTGAACACACTGATTTGGGGAAATTCAGGACAAAATTCAAACTAATGTTTATAATGATAATAATAATAATAAGCAGGAACTAATAAAAATTGGCTACTCTGGGCAGGAGAAAGACTCAGCGAGCAAAACCTGAGTTCAAATCCCTAAAACTCATACAAAAAGCTGGGCTTGGGGTGCTTGCCTGTAACCCCAGTGGTGGGGCTTGGACACAGGCAGGTCCAGGGACTCACTGGTGAGCCCATCCAGCCTAAACAGACGGGTCCAGGTTTAGTGACAGAGCATGTCTCAAAAAGGAGCGGGGAGACACACAAGACGAAGACACAAAAGGGGATGAGGTCTTGTTGATAAGAATTCCAG